CACTTTTAAAGTGCCTAAGTGCCCACACATCATCACATAGCTCCTTGATATAGTCAATATTTCTGGGAGACTAACACTTGCTCCCCTTAGGGATCCCCATCCCACCTCCCCCTCTGGCACCCTCGCCCCCCCCTTGACACCCCTCTAAATTTTTTTAATTAACTCATACACTTTGAAAGTGCCCAGAGAACACTAAATAGCGTTTTAAAATTGCAAAATTTTCTAGGGGGAGTGGACCACCACTCACACCCCAAAAAACAATTGAAAAGTTCTGAATTTATTTTATGTATCATCTCAGACACATGTAAAGTGCCCAGACATCATCAAATAGCTCCTTGATATAGTCAATGATTCTGGGAGACTAACACTTACTCACCCTCTTGCATCCCCACCCCACCACCCCCTCTGGCACCCCTCCCCTTTGACATCCCCCAAAATATTGTGATTTTTTCAAAAAATTTTATCGTGTCATACACTTCGAAAGTGCCCAGGAAGCACCAAATAGCATCTTAAAATTGTAAAATTTTCCAGGGAAGTAGGCCAACCCTCACATCCCCCACAAAACAATTGACAAAAATTCTGAATTTATTTCATGCATTGTCTCAGACACTTTTAAAGTGCCAAGACTTCATCAAATAGCACCTTGATATGGTCAATGTTTCTGGGGGCAGATATGGGGGACAAACACTTGCTCCCCCTCTGGCACCCTAATCCCACCCTCCCCTCTGGCATCCCCTTTGACACCCCCAAAAATTGAAAGAAGAAGCACTAAATATCATCTTAAAATTGTAAAATTTTCTGGAAGAGTTGGCCACCCCTCACATCCCCACAAAACAATTGAGAAAATTCTGAATTTCATGTATTGTCTCAGACATTTTTAAAGTGCCCAGACATCATCAAATGGCACCTTGATATGGTCATTGTTTCTTAGGGCAACCCCTCGCTCCCCCTCTGGCACTCCACACCACTTCACCCTCTCATTCTCTTTGACATCCTCAAAAAGAATTTGAAAAAAATTCACTTTTTATTGACTCATTCACTTTAAAAGTGCCCAGAAAGCACCAAATGGCATCTCAAAAGTGTAAAATTTTCTAAGGGGAGTGAGTCACTCCTCACAAGTTTGGAAGTTGCATTTGTTATTTTAAACACTTTAAAAGTGCCTAGAAGTCACCAAGTGACATAATGAAATCATAAAAACATACAAATTTCTGGCAGCCCACTCCAAAAACTAAAGCATTCATTTACTCAAACACATTAAAAGTGCTCAGAATTAACCAGACAGCAACTTGAATTAGTAAAATTTTCCTTGCTGCCCCCCTAAGAAGAAAATGATTGAAAAAAAATCTGAATTTCGTATCAATAGATTCTATTTCAATTAAATCACCTTGAAAGGGTCCAGAAATCACTAAATATGATCTTGAACTGCTAAAAGTTCTCGGGCATTTATGCCCTTCTACAACCTCCCCCTATTCCAGTGTTTCTCCAAATTTCTCATACAATATTCAGTCTAAAAACAATACGAAAACAATAAAATTCTACAAAATAACCGACCCCCTCCCCCCCCCCCCTTTGACTTACGCAATTTGATTTACGCGGCAAAAAATTGACAATTTTATTTTCTCTTTAGTTAAAACCGCACCCCCCTTGGAGAAAAGTGTCTTACGGGCCTGAACTCCCTAATAATTCACAATATCTCACTCATGTTTAACACGCATATCCATTCATGAATCTAGAAGTGCCCATATTTGTGTTTAGATCATTCTAAAAATACCTATATTTCACATAATGAAGCAGAAAAATAAGTATATCTGAACTCAGTTGCACTGTATTTAAATTAACATCTTTACACTCCAATGAGTTGGCTTTAACATAACACGAACCACATCATTGTATTGCCAATATTGTTAGAGGAGGCATAGGAGTTGAGAACAAAGTAAGTACTTTACTGACGCTATATTAAATTAAAATTTTATAACTAACTGAATTGTTGAACGTTTAAAATAGAAATATACATACAAAATTAACTTTTCTATATTAATCCTCAAGGCTTGCCTAGTATTGGTATATATGGGGAAAACGGTTGGGTTGGTCTCATCCTTGATTAGACTTTAAGAAATGATGAAAATATCATTTTAGAATAACTTATTTTGGAACAAGTTTGTGTTATGTGAACCCTACGCGCAGAGTCTAGCTATAAACTGCCTCTTTAAGAAGCGAAGACGAATGAATTTAAAGGGTATGTTATGTGATTTTCATTTTCTGTATCAAACAATATGGTTGCTTCAAATGAATCCATTGGATTTAAGGAGAGTTGGTTAATTCAAGTTTATTGAAAACGTCTTCCCGACTACACAGGTTAAAATTGTACTTTGCACACTTGACCCTTGCACAAAGTTTCATTGAAAATATGTTCTTTTAGTGACTTCGTCGACAATATTTTACAATATGTGAAAAGAATTAAAGCACAATCAAGACGCATTAATTGCGGCTTATTCGTTCCATTTAGGCATTATTTCCTATAAACCTCACACTCGATGCTGCGCGACTCGTCCTACCGCAGGGTTGAAATAACACATTTTGATGGATCACTCGGTCCACATTGCACTGAGTCCCGGGATAAATTCTTTTTTCAATATAATCTTCTTAATAATCCACACAGAGAAAGCTAATGGCTCATTATTAAATGTTAACGCTTCGATGCAAGGAAAAACTGACTAAACCGGTTTACGATGAAGTAAGTAGGTACCATGTGGTGAATTATGAGGAAACGGTGTCATGCTATGTATTTGCATGATGGGAAAATATAATTTTATTTATTTTGTTGTTTCCATGACAAGTTTATTGCAAAGTACACGATGTTAGAACCAATTGATAAGGTTATATCTCATATTTCTTTTATCATGAAAAAAGAACTTTTTGAATGCTAAGGAAAATTCATATTTCAATAAGCTGTTAATAATAAATTCATATAAATTCGTAAATTATAATAATTTCCTAATAAACTACCTTTATCTGATACCATGTGAGCAGGGGATCGGTATAAAGACCTATTTTAATAGACAAAGTCGAACAAAGCAAAGGGTACCACCATGACTAATGTAAAAGTGAATGTAATTTCAAACATTGAGAATTGAGAGATGATACTAGAACACAAGCTCTAAAACTAGAACTCGCTATCTATTGCATTTAAGGTCAGGGTGCATGATGGGAAATTTTCTGCATTCCTCAATTGAGTCACATGTTATTTTTCAAACGAGAATCACTCCTTCCCTTCATTGTCTATATCTTCCAGTTTTGCACAAAGAGTGCACTTATGTGCCTAGAAAAAACTTGTGAGAAGAATGTTTTGATAAAATGTATAAAAAACAATTTTTTCACCTAATTTTCTCATTTTTCATACACTTTACAAAACAAACCTTCTCACAAGGCTTTTCTAGGCACATAAGTGCACTCTTTGTGCAAACTTGGAAGATATAGACAATATGGGGAAGAAGTTATTCTTGTTTGAAAAATAACATGTGACTCAATTGAGGAATGCAGAAAATTTCTCCAACATGCACCCTGTCCTTAAGATATTGATAGTAAGCATACTGTCTATAAGATGATTACTTTTAAATGTTTGTCTTGGGACGACAATGAAAAATGGGTGGTGGCACTAAAAAAGCTATTATCTTAAATTAACCAATTCGGTAATTTCGATTAATTTTCTTTACACAAATAGATTCAATGGGTATTGGTTCGTAGAACCAGTATACCAACAGACTCACATCTTCATCTGATTGTCGTTCAATGCCAAAATACTATTTCCGGGAATTGATCTAATCGGCAATGCGTTGTGCAACTCGAATGTAAATTCAAAAGTGTTCATGTTATAATGTGTACTGATTAGCCAGAAAGGAGTAACGCTTCGCAAAATCACCTCATGGTTCAATGTCTTTAGGTTGTAAGATTTTAAACAGCATTGAGTTATGTAACAGGATCAACTCAACGTGTTTAGTTTGTATACTGTATTCTGACTGGCTAGAACGTAACTCTGCATGACTAGCTTTGTGAAAACGCACCACAGGGTGGGCAGCTCTAATTGAGGTATTATATTTTTCGCTCATCGGATGAAAAATCGTGGCTCCAAAGTAGTCAAATTTGAATCATGTCCGCTCTGCATTGAATGCAGTGGCAATCAATTACACTGACACTTTTTAAGTACGTCACTCGGAGATCCTAAACTCTAGCAACCTGTTTAAAACCTGTTCTGATCGTGATGTCATGATTTGCACTTAACATTGGGTTCCCGATTTTGAACACAAAATTTCACATTTATAGAAAGATTTACAAGGACGGTATATGGTTTGACTTGTAAGTGGTGTTTACTTCATTTAAAAATGTATAAACTGAATTTTGACCCCATGAGCATCACACAGACACTTTAAAAAGTGTTATTCGCTGAAACTTGAAATGATTATGATAGTTACATTGTCTTTCAGATGATTAAATTTTGGGATTCTTTGGGACAACCTGTATATCTTAACGTTATATAATGCTATCAATATTTATTAGGGCTGAGGGTTCTGCCGAATAAGTATACTAATTTATGAACTAGGATGTGACACATTCGCATTTTTTAAAAAAGCACTACACACTACAAAATTATATTTTGTAAGACTTGCTACTTTTATTAGCGCATCGGTAAGTTAATATGCGTGATTAATCAGGAGGATCATCGATTGTATGATGTCACAGATTTCAAAAATTGTAATTTCTATCGATGAATCCTAACAAAAAATTTTATATGAGTAATACACACTGTATAGTTTATTAAGCAAACCTTATATTGCTTGCGCCCAATGACTCAAAATACCCATGTCTGTTTAGCTTCTTGATCTATTCACGTGTTGACTTTATCAGGCGAATAGTGAAATCCTTCTCCTTTGCCTTTTAAACATTTGAACAAGTTAGTACATTAGAAGGATTATATATTTTTTCATATCATTTTTTATCTGCAGGTCATTGTCACCATCGACGGACACGCAGAAAACTGCACTGAAAATGAAGATAATCATCAGTCTCACAATCGCAGTTGTGCTTATTAGCACCTGTCAAGGATATAATGGATTATCAGAAAGTGAGTAATACAGTTTTGTTCTATGAAAGAAAAATGGTTTGTTCATTACCCGGAGCAAAGTATATATGTACCCATCTAAACGCTTTGTATTTCACATGGTCAATATCCAGTATGGATCACTTCTGTCGCTGTCGCTTTTGAAAAAGTAGTAGATAAAAAATTAGATAAAATGTTTAAAATCGGGATAATGACTAATGAAAATCAAGTTTTATCAGTGCAATCACCAGTTGAAATGTATACTTTATTTTGTTTATCTTGTGTGTATATAATTTCATAATAAAAAGTATGACGAAATTATTTGGTTCACTACAATCATTTAACTTTTTGTGACGCTGTGAAAAAAATTATGGTCCCTCAGGGATTATGGTCCCCTTTTTATATGCCCTTACTGGCCCTGACTGTCCATAAGACAATAAGGGAAAGAGATCACCATATAAATCAATGGAAAGTAGGACCATATATTCATAGGACCTTCTAGCCTTTTGCAACAGTGGTCTTGAGTTTGAAATCTGTTGAAAAGTGTTTTCTAGAAATTTCGAGTTCCAAGGGGCATAAAGATATATAACGTGGTATGTGTTGTTAGGTAACCGAACTCTCAGCTTTTTTTATAATTGATCCGAAGATGTAAGATGGTCATGTATTTCACTGTAATTGAATGGGGCCGTTTAAGTTATCCATAATGGTAAAAAAACTGAACGCAAAATACATTGAAACTTCGAACGAGGCACGTCTCGGTATACGTTCGTCCTTGGCTAAATCATGAACAGTTACGAGTGCAAAAACATTATAGAATATTGTTTTTGAATACTCTGCCCTGCTTAATTAGAATATGCAAGTGAACTTGTTTGTGAGTAAATGTTAAATATTTTGATACTTTGTTTCTTTGACTTCCCTCTCTGCTGGTTGTACAAAATTACTATTAAACATAATTAATTAAGATCCGTTTGCCATATATCTATTTATACATCACAATGTATAATCACAATTACATTCTGAATGTTACATAGTAATAATGTTCCTAGTAATAATGATAGTATAAAAAAAGTGACAGCCATTGAGGGCGATAGCGTAAATTATTTACCCGTGGGAATATCCTCTAAAATTTGCTATTCCCGAAGCCGCGGGCAGGGAAATAGTAAATCTATTTCGGGACACGTGACTAGGTGTTGAACAATCAGGATTAGTGTAACATATTGGGTATATAATAATAATTATTAATTAATGCTTTGACAAATTGACAAGTTTCAACATAACCGGATTTTTCAAATCTGATGTCATGTAGGCCCGACCAACTTACACTCTCCTTTATGAGTTTGCCATCGTTAGCTTCCAATTGGAAGTTTTGTGCAAAAGAAAACTTTATTTTTTAATTTTTATTTAGATAACCTAAAAGTGTATTTTGACTTAAAATATTTCCTATACTTCCAGATACTCAATTTTTTCTCAATTAGAATAGATTCAAAACTGCTTACTGCTGAATCTCTAAAAATTGTAATTCTTACTGTTTAATGTAAACCAGTATTAATTCATGATCTTTCATCCACACAAATTAAAAAAATCTGAAATAAAAATGCTAAATATTAAAATTAGAAATAAACCCATTGAGAGAATTTCAAAGACTACTTTCCTTGAAGTTATTATCGATGATAAACTTAAATGGAATGAGCATATTGCTCATGTATCTACCAACATTTCACAAGTAGTAGGAATTCTTTAAAAGGTCAAAAATAAGATAAATCACACTGCAATCATGTCTATTTATTACTCTCTTATATATAGCCATATAAATTATTGTATTCTTATCTGGGGCACAGCAACTAAAGCTCTATTGTTTCAAATTCTGAAAGTACAAAAAAGATTCTTAAGACTAATTACAAACAGTGTTAGAACAGACGAATCCTCTTTACAATTTTAGAAAATAAAGATATTCATAAGCTAAATGTTGGTATTTTTGTATTTAATTGTCTAAAACGACCTAAAGAATTTCCTCAAACTTTATTCCATGACTACTTCATAGCAAATGCCCAAACTCATGGTCAAGAGACACGTTATAGATTCAATCTTAGAGCTAATCAAATTTAAATCTACATTTGAACAAAGGAGCATTAAATACATAGGACAAACAACATGGAATGAATTACCTGAAACTTTTAAACATCTGAATTCTAGAAATAAATTTAAGTCAGATTTGAAAAAGTATTATCTGTACAAGTATTAAATTGATCTGTATAACATTTAGCTATATGTGCTTATATATATGTATATTTCTCTTCTTTTACTTTTCTCCTAACTTTCTTTCTTTAAAAACAGTTTTAAATCTTGTCATCTTGATTAATACAATTGCGTAATATAATCATATGTAACTATATACACCCGCATGGGTGTCAGTTGCCTGTACAATGAACATTGATATAATTGATGAATAAATAACTCTGCAAACTGTAATGCGAAATGATGGGTTCGGGGAAAATTGGGTTTTAAGATAAATATTCAAAAGAAGATTTACAGAGCTCCAAAGTCGCTGAATAGGAAAGATAACTTGAAAAATAATTTTTACTTTGGAGATCTATAACTTTGTTGGGCTGGATGAAACATCAATTTTTGTAAAAAAAAGTTAACAAATTCACTTGTTTGCTTAGACTGTATCTTTCCAAGAACTCGGACTGATGAGTATTCATTCATATGACTTACAGCAAGCCTACTAGTTACTATTGGTTTACATTGGAATGTGTATTTCACAAAATTATCTGATTTGTCACCAATTTACGATCTAAGGTAATTCTTAAAAAATGAAAAAACGAAGATATTGGCAATTATGTAAATTAATAGTTTATTTCTTTACACGTTATCAAAGAGGTTATATTCTATAATTTGTTATTTTTTTAAAGCGATCCAGTGCTATGATGACATACAGACTGCAAACAATCTGCAGGAACAAATTCGGGAGATATATCGCAACAAAGAGTCGTTTTGCGAAGGTGTCGGGGTGAGTAATGCCGTGGTCACATTTCCCCCAATTTTCACGACAGTGCCCGGCCGATTTAGTATTCTTTTCAAAATTGGATGCAATATTAAACAAAACACTCAATCGGCCGGGCGCTGGTCGACGAATCGAGCAAATGTGACCCAGGCATAACATTTACCTTTTGACGTATTAGTCTATAGTATGAAATCTCTAGGACTTCTTATAAAGGGTTTGGTAGCACACGATAGCGAAGCTATATTTCACATAATATTAACATGCCTAAATATGTTCCCTAATATTTTTTATTATAACCGCTTAATATACTTCCGGTTTGGTGCTGAACTATGCTTGTCATAAGCAGAGGTAAAAAAATAACCAAAAAATCACATTTTCACAATTTGGAGAACACATTGCAACAGAAAATATTAAAAAATGATTTTAAATATATAATTTAAGTTTCTTAGCTATACGATTGAGGTTATTTTTCTTATCAGTACCAAAAAAATATGTCACCAGTGTATGAATATCTAAGCACAAGTGCCAAAGGGAAAAGACCAAAAGTTGAAATGAAAAAGCAAACTCTAAGTGTATACCAGTCAAGAAAACAAACCCCATATACCCCAAAACCATGACCTAACCCGAAAAGAAACAATGTATAATACCCCCTATCCCCCACCATCCAAGAACCGATATCACAATCCAAAACCAGAACACCAAGGTACATTCCATTCATACTGAAGCCATTACAATACATGTTGAAGAAAAAATTAGAAATTGATAGCCAATACTCACAATCTCACAAATAGTTGGAGACACAAGTACTAATAAAAGACAGAGCATTCAGTCTCAAATGACGTGAAGTAGATAAAATCCAGTCTCCAAGTCCATAGGAATTTCAAAGGGTCGACATCAATTCACACCATTTTTATATTAGAATAACAAATGCTTAAATCATCATCCCGGAATAGCCTTGCAATGGTAAATATAGATACCTTTGTCACAAATGGCGAACATAACCGTCACTTCAATTAGATTTCCATAAACTCTATGTGTAATAGAGCTAGACTAAATTCCCTTGGAACAATAGTCAATCAAAGTGTCTTAATACTCATTGTATAGTTATTAATGTTCTTCCGTCGATATTAAGTCTTTAATCTAACCGATCAAAATGAGATACGGGACAACGGACCCTGTGATTATCATATGCCGTTGTCTTTCTAAATTTCTCAAATTCAGATTCCGTTGTCATTGACGATATCGAAGACGCTATATTGTGGCGATTCACGACCCAATTTGATCGAAAATGGGATTTCATATGGTACACTATCATAAGAGCTTAATGCATGCGCCAAAAATGCGACGATTAAATCCAATGAAATGAGGACCAGGTGATTAAACAGTTAAAGTGACGGTTATGTCTGCCATTTGTGACCACGGTATCTGACTTTTCCGTACATAGGCTATTCCGGTGTGATTATGCTAGTTATTCACAAATTGAGTCTCAATACGATTTGAGATATGGCCTTTTATTCTGCGGTGAACGTTATCAATAAAGGGGGCCTATTGCTCTTCCTTGACTAACTGCGACTACAGTTGAAATTCTATTTCTCGTAGTAATATATTGCTTTATAGTTGCTTATAAAACAAAAATCAAGATTAGGACAAATTCATGAATATTTTCTATAATGCCATGCATGCATTTGGCGATTGAAGATAATTTAGAAAATGTAACTAATGATGATAATTGATAAATAAATAAAAATAAATAAAAAAAACTGTGTAACATTTAATTAGATATAAATCTTACCTATTTGTTATAACATATTATGATTTATAAAACAAGAACAATGGTTTGTGATTGACCCCTTTAGATAATATGGATAATTTATGGTAATAAAATGTTTAAACGGCAAGAAAACTAATATGTTCGCAATCATAAATTACCTAAATTTTTCATACAATTTTATTAAATATGCTTGGCTCATATTTGAAAAATCAAACAAAATCTGAAAAGCACACTTGTGTAAGCACACTTATTAAACACCGACATTTATAGTAAACCTTTAGTAAATTAAAAACATTGATATATGTATTTGTTTTTCGTATGCTTAGCATAATAATACGGATAAGTGTGTTATAAAATGTATAAAACTTCAAATCAAAATATTTACCTTTTTGACCCCTTGTGATGAAAGACATTTTTCGACCCGAAAGTTTTTCACCAAATTGTATTTTATATTAATCAAAATATATTCACCTCCTTAATTATTGCTTCAAATGTTGCTGCGATATATGTGTGCTACGGATCCTCCATATTCGGAAGCTACTCCATGGAGTACATGTATATCCAGTATTAGTATGTACCAGGACACAGTAAATGGGTCAAATCACAGATGTATTCAATATTTTTTTGTATCTCTTAAACAGCTCAAAGAGACGTTTCAAATGAGCATTGGCTTCATTGCTGTATTTTATTTTACGGTTATAAAAGCACATTTTCTTCTTCATCTTTGGCATATTTCACGGGTTTTGTCGCAAAATTTTAATATTTGTGATATAAGACCGGTTCTCAAATGTTGAGGCTCATATAACTTTCAATTCTCCACAATGCACAATAGTTCATGCATGAAAATTGTTTTTGGTAAACTATAGAAGCTGGAAGAGTGTTACAAAAAGCAGATCAATTGCTCCGGCACTTAATCTGAACTCGGACCTTGGATAATCTTTAGAAGAACTCGTTTTATTGATAGCTATATACAGGGTTTTACAGAAGAATTTGGACCAAGTCTTAGATCATAATGGCGTAGAATAATGGGAATAGCGTCATAAATCCCAGGACAGTGAATCTCAGATCGAACAACGTCATTTAATGGTTGAAAATCAAACTATTCGCCAATGTATAACCTAAAAGACCAAAAGATTATGCCGCAAATTTTGAAACAAAGTTTGAAGCCGTTGAAGGCTAAACATTTGGGTTTGCTTAGATCATTTAAGAGAAATGATAAAAAAATTGTTTTTTCAAAGTTTATAATGGCGGCCAATGGGGGATTTTAGCAAAATATCCCGAAAATTAAACCATTAACGAGGCGTACAGCCTTTTTTATTTTGTTCGTGAAGCCACTCAGTAAAATTACGATTTCTCTGCAACCTGATGTCCAATAAAGATCATTCAAGTAATTATGTGTTTGTGACACGTTTGGGCGTCCGGGAATAACAACGTCCATCCAAAGTTTGCATGGGAAATACACGTGATTCATGACTGAAATCCTAGGACAATCCTATCAAAAAATAAAGAGAAGGAGTTCAACTTTCATTTGAATTACGAAAAAACGATGTAGGTCAAAATAGTTCCGACGTGAGCATGTTTTCTACGCGTATGCCTGTCATCTCAGAATTGAGAAAATGTTAGCAAGCGCGAGTTACAATAAATGGACGCTGATATTTCAAAAAGTAACCTGACTCCCTATAATTTGATGGAGATCAATCGAACCCAATTATGAACAGGCACATTATGATATATAACACTGTAGGGCGTAAGCGTTTTATAGTTGATCACGAATGCCATGGATTACGGTACTAACACCACAATGGCATTGCCGTTTTTGGGCTTATTACTTGAAAGCATCAATGCAGTTTTATTATCATATATTAATAGTTATATGACGAATCATCGCAATATGATACAGGGTGTTAAAAAAACGCAACCCAAAGAAATCGCTATATCTTGAAAAATACTAGTTCAATTATGTTCATATTTTCAGGAAATAAAGAAGAGACTGTGCATGTATAGCTCCTGTAAATCGTTAGTTGTAAAACATGATACCTTGGACACCTGCTCAAAAGACAGTTGTACTAGGAAAATACGAAAAACGCAGTTAGGGGTGACTGCAACGTCAAAAAAATTAAATAACTTTCTAACCAAAGTGTTTTGGCTCTTCAAATTTGGCACAAATCATCTTCATTCACTGTATGGTAAATCTGTAGAGTGAAATCAAAATCACTTCAGGAACTTTACAGTTATGGTTGAAATGCTTTCAAATCGCAGTCAAACGCCCTGGTTTAGGGAGACTTAAGAAGGCATTTTGACCATGTCTGTAAAGTCCCTGGAGTGATTTTGATGAAACTCCACAAATACACAACACATTGAATGAGAATAATTTGTGCCAAATCTGAAGTGCCAAAACACCATGGTTAGAAAGTTATTTGGTTTTATTGCTGTGGCAGTCACCTTTGACTGCGTTTTCATATTTTCCTAGAACAACTGTCATTTGAGCAGGTGTCCAAGGCATCATGTTTTACAACTTACTGACAATAGGAGCTATACATACACAGTCTCTTCTTTCTTTTCCTGAAAAATGAACATTATTGAATTAGTATTTTCCAAGATATAGTGATTTTCCATTCGCATTTTTCATATTTTGCTTGCACAACTGTCTTTTGAGCAAGTGTCCAAGACATCATGTTTTACAACTAACTAACAACAGGGGCTATACATACACAGTCTCTTCTTTCTTTCCTGAAAATATGAACGTAATTGAATGAGTATTTTCCAAGATATAGCAATTTCCTTGGGTTGTGTTTTTTTTGAACACCCTGTACAACGCTTGTTATACCCTAGTTGGGGTTAATTTTGTATATAAATGTAAAATAATTTGGGGAATCCACTTAGAGTTTGAAGATTTCTTCAAATGTATCGTCGTTACGGATATGACGGCGTATAATATTGGATTTCCACAATGGCGGGCTATTATGTCATCAATATACGTTGGATAATATGGCGACATTTTTTGTAACATTTGTTTTACAGACGATGTGACAACGGCCAAAACGGCCGATGTAGATTTCAAATTTAAAAATAAATTGTCCTACATTATTGCTATTTCTAAGTAAAAAATCAAAAATTATCTGATCGCACCGCGTGATACACCATATTAATACATTTTCATTTGCGTAGCGTTTTGATTATCACCATAAATATCTTGAAAACAAACAAATTATACATATGAGCATAGTATAATGTAAGCTAAGAAGTGATTGGTTCACAATAATGGTGTAAAGTTGAAATCGAGCGCGTATCAATACGCCTTTTTATCTGATTGGTCGGTAAAGTGATCTTTGACCTTGCAAACACCGCCTATAATATTAGTTCTGAACGCCTGAAATTTTAGGCTTTGACAACGCACATAATTTACATTTTAACGAGCGTAATTAACACGAGCATTAAGAAAGACAGAGTGGAAGACGCGTAATTCACATACGGAGGAGGGTCCTTAACTTCTAAACACGACTAGATTCAATGTGTAGATTCGCCAACCTTATCAAAACAGTAGGCTTGGACGTAAAATAAAATGATTAAAATAATTAAAATCTGGGAAATGATGTCCTTATTTGGTCCAGTTTACACATTAACCCATGAGATAAAATTAAGATTGAAAATGCAATGACTTTCCTAAAAATAATGTTAACATCTTGTAGTGTAAGGTTAAGGAAGTTGTTAGATCGATCTTTTTGTTCGGATATGTATGCTTTTCTTATGACTTGTATACACTAAGCGTTTTCTTCTTCTTGTTAGGTCCCATTACAGCTTTTGGTCCTTCCCATTTGCACTTTGTGCTTAGTATTGCCAAGGCTGCTTTTCTCGATACATTTAAGTTTACTGGAGCGACAAATCAACGGAATCTTTAATTGAAAAAGACGAGGCCTTAAGCAATGATAAGTACTAATCACACATATTTTGACCCAAATTCTGTGAATTTGTACGGTTTTGTATTTATAGGGCTATAATGACTGCAAAGTTGTAAAAGAGCTTCGTGAACTACATAACGAGTACAAGGAAGTACTAGAGAATGTGCAGAAACTTCTAGTGGCATCCATGATTGGGTAAACTCCCGAAGCACAAAAACCCACCACCCCTACCCAGCAACCTCTAGACGAAAAGCGAGTCGTTAGCCAAATCAACGAATTAAAGACCCAACTTAATCTTCTGGACGATCAAGGAACTGACGTGTAAAATGAAACATTGAAGAAAGAAAGAACATGAATCAAAATAACATATAACATAATAAACAAAAATAGAATTTTTGGATATAAAAAATAAAACAAAGGAAGAATAAACTGATAAGTGGAACCCTCAACCATATTGTGTAAAGGTATTTTCGTAACACTAAAGGATAATGGGGAGGGGGGGCAGATGTTGGTTCCCGGATCCGACCCAGACACCCTGTATTGAGTGTGGACAACTTCTCAAAGAAATGTCCATGTGCAGTATGGCTGGTGATTTTGGACGGTCATCTCTTTCACTATGAGTACTTTCTGGCCATAAATACATTGGTTTATTAAAAACAATATATTTTCTTTGAAGTGAAGTCCCCATGATAGTAAAATATAAATAAAGACCCATCTTCGCGCTTTTCTAAAAATATTAGGCTTTTTATCTAAAAATAGGATCTTGTTTTTCTCAATTTAAACATATCGAAAGTTTCTTCTACTATATTAACAACTAAAATGCATTGAGGTTAAAAATAGTTTGTATATTATCCAATAAATGAATAGAAATGTAATAATTATGTATATGCAGGTATTTTTCAATAATTCCTATATTTAGCTGGACAAGATTTTATAAAAAGGTAGGTACCAGTATCATAAAAACGTCAATAACTAAAAAAATATTAAAGTGTTAATAGCGTAAATAAATATAGTGTCCTATTTAGACAATTGATATATTTAAAATTCTGTTATTCTACAGTTTCTACTAAAGCCAGCGACATGTGTGTTAATATCAACGACATTTAAAGCCAGGATGCATGTTGGGAAATTTTCTGCATTCCTCAATTGAGTCACATGTTATTTTTCAAACAAGAAATACCCCTTCCCCACAAGTCTACATCTTCCAGGTTTGCATCAAAAGTGCACTTATGTGCCTGGAAAAGACGTGAGAAGATTTGTTTTGTAAAATGTATAAAAAACGAGATAGTTCAGTAAAAAACAATTCTAAAAGTTTTCTGATTTTTTCACGGAATTTAATTTCTTGTTTTTTATACACGTTGTACTATTTGTGCCTTATTTCAATAGGCTACTCTGTACTTATATTGATTGTATTTGTATGTATTACATTTAGTTAATGGTTTGGTAGGAAATCCAATCTATCATTTTTCAGTGTTCAAGTTTGAACACTTTTCAATTCTCTCTATGTTACTCGCTACTATGTATGTCATAATGTTGACAGCAAATATCCTTCAAAACATATGCATAAAATTTTATGATCATGAATTCATGATGGCTGGAAATAACATGATTGGTACATGGCTTCAATTGCCATTTGCCTCTCTATTTGAAGATGACTATATAGATGCTGCTCCACATGGATCATCTCTCCATTTTTTTTTGATAAACTCTTTAATCATACACTGTTGCTCATAAATATGGAATATTAGATTTGACAGCTCAGAATTCAAAATTTGGAGTAAGAGAACATTTATTTGGAGTCGGTTCAGACATTTATTTTCCAGGCAAATCATAACCATACATTTCATCTACAAATCAACATTTTTAGAGAAAAAATATTCACATATACGTTTAGAAAATTACTGTTACTTAACCAGGGGTACGCCAAGAAATTTTCCATTTTCAAAACACAGCGATCCAAATCGTCATGCAAAACAGATCAAACAAAATAAACATCTGGTCATGAACATTGAAGTGTCCTCTATCCAATGATAGCACTAATATGCGTTATGCACTCTTTGTGCTGCAATCAAAGCATCAACCCTACGGGACCAGCATTGAATGAAATATCTGACCTTTCTAAGTGAAATAAGGCCCCATTCCTCAATCTGGGCAGTGCGTAACGTGTCTAAATTTTGAGGTGGGGGTCCAAGTCACGAATCCCATTACCAAGGTCGTCCCACATTTGCTCTGCACTAGCCTGATTGGGTGACTTTTGTGCCCATGATAGCTGGTCCACATTGCCTGCCCTGATGCAATCCAACACGATGCCACTAGCATATGCAACAGCATGATCATTCTGCAGTTGAATGTTGCTCCAAAACACTCTGCTTACATGTCGTACTTGATGGAGGTCCAAAAGGTTAATTTACTCTGAAATTATGTTTGGGAATCACCAAGGGGGTGCAACTTCTGTAGTACTGCTCCAAACAACTTCTGTAATACTGCTCAAAACATGAATAGGGTTGCCTTCATGGACTGCCACATCAGTAAGTGACCTTATTGTCTCTTTCCAATGGTCTATGACAGAAACGATCACAGTTATCAACTTTGAGGAGGACACATCTTATTTCTTCACATGCTGTCATATGACAACAAAGATTAGGTCCAACGTTTTGGTGCTTTCCTGCCCATTGAAGGCACATTTCTTTGTTATGATCAGTCAACTGCGGTCCCTTTAAAGGTATCATGGCCCTTTGCATTCGTTATAAAGAAATCACTGGTTGTCTATAGCTTTGGAACACGGATTTCGAGGTGAGACAGCCATTCATCTCGTAGACTACTGGTTGACTTAAAGCGATTTTGATGATATTAATGCAGCAGGTGGTGGTCTTTTCTTATATTTTTCTCTCTAGGGCTATTATTGCTGTGACCTAGAATCACATTTAGTTTTAGAGACTGTTCCTGACACACCCCTAGGGTCCTGGCAGTGGCAGTTTGCTTCATGCCAGAGAGCTCCATCCTTATGACCTGCCATGTTCTTTTTCGCTTATTCTATGGGACATGCCTTCTAAAAACTCTTCCAACTCTAAATTTAATTTTTATAAAATGTGCACAATGATTACAACTACGATTTGAACACTTCTTTCAAGTTACCAATATCATGAGGTCATTGGGTCACCTGAGTGAATGCAAGTTTAATCAACCATAAATGTTTTAACTTTTCATACCAATCAGTTTTATATGCATAACTGATGAGGGAATGAGAAAACTTTACACATTTTTATCAAAATGTTATCATTTTGTAGAAATTCCATCAAACAGTTGGTATCTATAAAATATTCCATATTTATGAGCAACAGTGTATACATCATCCTTCTGAGGAATCTGATGACTCAAGGTTCTTTGAATTCACAGAAACCTTTATTGGCAAATGTAATTATCATGAAACATATGAATTTAAGAAAAATAGGGTCGTCTTTAAATACAGAGCTTTCAATTTCATCTGAGCTAATCAGTGAAAACTTGATAATTTATTAACTGCTACTGGTGTAAAATGTTCTATAATTGATCTGAGACTTGGCTTAATGTAATACATCAAAACCAGTTTGACTTAACTACTCGTCAGATTTTAATTCTAGAATAGATAAAAGAGGGGGTGCTGTCTGTTCAAATGTTCACAACTCCTTGCATTATATTACACGCAATGACCTTACGGTTGGTAATCTAGAGTGTGAATCAGTAGCTATTGAATTCATCAGTCAAAACTAAAAAAAATATCATTATTACTGTCATATATTAGCCACCTGGTGTTGATGTGTTACATTTGCGAATAAAATAGCAGATGAGGGTAAAGCATCTTACACCATTGGTGACTTCAACATTGATTTACTTTTGATTGACCACACATGACTGTCTGAACAAGTTTTATTCATTCAATCATTTCCCATTAATGCGAGGGTTGTCCGAGAGGCAATACACTATATACTCTAACTTATCTTAATATCATTCAATTCAGCTGGAATTTGTGTACATAACAATTGAAGTTTTATGTATTATATCCTGAAGTTTCAGCATCAAACATTGATATAAGTCTTAAAATGGTTGCTATAGCAGGATTGGGGGTGGGCGGGGCAGGTACTAATTTTTCTAATTATGAAAAGATCTTAAGTGTTATTTTATTAACATTTCTTTCTTGTAAATTATCAAATGCTTGAGATATTGTTCAATTTATTCAGCATGATGTTAACAAAGTACATATAATGACATTTAGCACTGTGATGTCAAAATACCACAGTTCAATATTCACAAATTCGAATACAGTCACAGTCAAGAAACTCCAAAAATGGTTGCAATTCTCAACTGGTAAACAGAAGGCCTTGCGTTCGGTGGCCTAGTTTCATACTTCGCAGCCACGTAAAACGTATGCTGCCATGAAGAAAGTATGAAAGCAGTATATACCAGATAGAACTACAATTATGAGGTGACAGAAGAGATTTAAAAGAGATGACTGGAGCCTGGATGACAACTCCAAACATGGGAGGCAAAAACTCCACGCAAGTCACAGTGGTAGAAATTGCCAAGAGTGTTTGACCTGACAGGCATCAAAAGTACATAACATGCAAAGGCCAATATTTTTTTTTAGATATTAGGGAGTTTAAGATTAGCGTAAATAACCCATTTACCTTTACCTATACGTAGTTTGTTATTACACTAAGCGGTACTTTACCTAAGTTACAGGCTTTACGATACGTAATTACCTATAAATGGCCGAAGATAGGTAATTCGAAAACGTATGTTTTTATCCAACAAATTATGTCATTTCTACATCAAATATCATCCATTAAAATTTAAAATAGTAACCACAAACATTTCTCATTGGATATGCATAGTAATTAAGTGGTCGAACACATTCATTGATGCGATAAACGATGCCATGTGATGATGCATGAAATTGTTGAATTTACACATTCTTCACCAGTTTTGCTTATAGTATTATGTATGAAATCAGCCATTTTCTCGTGGTTTTAATTGTTTAACTTTACTATTTGGTCACTCTCATTGCTGGATCATGCTAGAAATTCAACATTTCGCCTTAAGTCACTGCCCCATTAGCGGGCCCACAAGCAACACCCCCTCCCAACTACAGTAGCTACACCACATTCTCTCTCTCTCTGAAGTATATAATAGTTCATGGAGGAGGTGACATGTACTGCTTCATGTCATATAAGTCTTCGCATGGTTTTCATTCTATAATTTGGATGTTAATTTTATCATAAATTTTAGCATACGTTTTCGTAGCCTTTTACGTTAATCTTAAAGTCATTTTGCAATACGCATTACCTATACGTATCCGTAACAAACATACGGATAGCGATAGGTTCACGTATATTTTTACGCTAATCTTAACCTCCCTATTGTTAAATGGGACACTGTGCAATATACATCCATTAAATCTAGGATGCGCTCATTGTAATTCAATATCTTATAAAATGTATTTTTGAGCATACTTCTTATAGCT